AGCTAGGAGTGGATTAGTCACTGAATAAGAGCTGGGGAAAGCTCAGTTTCAATCTTCTCAACCTGAAGTTTGAAGTTTGACAAATCACTTCCTTTCACTGTCTCTTTTCCTCTTCCTGCGACCCACTTTGCCTACTGGGGTTGTTATTTCTGGAAGGCAATGTCTCTGTGTACTCTGCAGCACAAAGCACAGCTGTGCTCCAAACACGAGACCTTGAGACACATCCAAAATGCAACGCGGAAAAAGCCATTGTGCACTTGACGGGGTCGTATTCTGCCATCCTGTCTCAGGCTTGCATGGTGCATTACACTGTGAGAAACCCTGCTGAAAACCACAGGAGCATTTGGAGAACAGGGCACTATTCAGAATGAATGGCCGTGGCAGAATTCCTCCAATTATTTACTTTTCATCAACACCCCAGAGTCTACAAGAAACAGAAAGTTCTCTGACACGTACACCCCCCGTATGAATACACACAGGGAGGGTGCGCACCCTCCCTCGTGAGGGACCAGACCATTTCTGCACTCACCTGACCCATAAAGATGCATTCATTCCTGTTCCACTCTATCCTGACACAAAATGGAACGTATTGACATCAGGTAAATTCTCTCCCAACCACAGAATCCCAGTGCTGCACCAGTTCAAACTACAGCAAAGCTCTTGGCTTGTACTTGACTTTCATACTTGATTGTATGGAGCCAGCCTACCCCCGAGGGGAGGTGGAGGTAGGGGTGAAGGCAGCAGGAGGATAGTTCCCCCAAAAAAAGGGATCGTTCACGACTCCCAAGTACATTTTTAGCAAAGCTGACATGAGCAACTGCTACATAAGAGCAGCTGCGGCCAGAGGAGATCATGAGTCAGACCTAGTTTGTGACCATGGAACCAAATCAGAATTGCCCCAGGAATTAATTTCTGAGCTTCTGTTCTCGTAGACAAACTACAGTACTGAGGGTTTTCCTCAGCCACAGTTGAAAGAATATCTACTCCAAGTTATCTCCTGTGAAGCTTTAAGAAAAAAGGAAATTCTCAATGCTTGGGCTGCACTATCGACATGTCTGCTCAGAAGTACTCTTGGGTGTCACCCAAAAGACGGTGGCAAAAGAACCCCAATGTCTAGATATTTTTTTTTAATAGAACAAAGCATGCCAAGTAACTTGGTAAACACAGCAATGTAAAGAAGCAGACTCCCTCAGCTAAGCAATCAACATGCTGGTGGATCATTCTCTTGTATGGAGAGTAACGGGTCTGCCCAGCAGCTGCTGTCACAACCAGCAACACTCACAATGAGTGGGAGGACAACTCTTGAGTGCACCTCCAACCTGGAAATGCTTGTTAATGCCTCAACCTGTAAATGCTCATGAAGTAAGATTGAAACACCCCTCTTTACATTACTGGGATCATCTCCTTTTCTTTTTTCCACAGACAATCAAGATTAAGACCCAATTCTGTAATACTGCAGGGCCCCCAGCTCACACTTGACACCTTCCACAGCTATGCTAAAGTAAGGTTTTGGTGAAATTGGGGTGGCATGAAGAACGGTGGGAGAAGTGAGTTCTTTCTCTGAACCACTCAGAGACAATTCCCAACTCATTTGTGTGGTTTGGTGATGGAAGTCTTCATGCATCAAAGGGGAATTCAGTCACATGCAACTGGCCTCAGTAACCTCAAAAGGAAGGTGGATGGGGCACAACCTTCACACATAGCACAGAACTGAAATTGCAGCTTTGAAGCAGCTAGCAAGATCTAAGCTGAAGATGAGGATTACTCACATGAGGGCATGGGGACACACTAAGATCAGAGAGTACAAGAAGAAGTTTAAGTGAGGAACTGTACTAGTAAAAGTTTCACTTCACTAGACAGCTGGGAAGAACTGAAACAGCACGAGGAGTTCTCCCTCTCACAAGCACACACAGAGTGTGTGAAAAGCAGGCAGGGTGTACACCTAACTTCAGAGACTGTGAGGGCAAAACAACACATCTGGTATGGTGATAATACCAACAAGGGCTAGCCTATGGAAGAGGAGTGTGTAATAAAATAAAGTAAAGGCTGATTGACCTTTGTTTTTAAAGAAATTCAAGTTTCACAAAAAAAGTCTTTGCCTTCTTTTTCTTAACGCTTTGTGATGATCAAAAACCATCAGGCAACAAAGCATGTGATGTGTAAAACAAAGGTAACTCTGAACTCTCCTAAGCTCCAAAGCAGGACAGAGGAAAGAGGAAGTATTTGTCTTTTGAACAACAGCGCCAAACCACCGTGAATTACCAGATCATCCCACTTGTCCAACCTCCAGACTGTCCTGTCTGGTTTTGATTAGTTGCTTCTTCCCTTATTTTCACCATTAGCAACTGTCTTATATGGAAAAAAAATGACACAGGCAGCCACCACAGACACCTTTCACAGGAGTCAACAAATGCAACATATGTAAAAATGGCACACCAAATGAATTTCATCCAGCATAAAAGCTGTGTGAGGCTTTATATAATATCAGGTTTTGTGCTGCTTACAGGCTATGGGCTGGTACTTGTCAAGGGAAAACAAAGAAGTGTGATTTATTCTTGTGTGATTCCAGTCATCTGCTGCTGTAATTCCACGTTAATCAACAGAGCTAAATGAGCATGAAAACAGGGTAACGCAGACACGCATCAGGTCCCACTTGTTTAAAGATCACCACTCTCATCCCCCGTGACTCCATTAAATGCACAATTCCTATTGCATATCAAAGGGATTTCCTTTGGAAACATGTCCTGCTCCAGCAGTAACTAATAACATTAGTACTTTTATCAATGATGTTCTCATAACAAGTCTGAACTGAAACCAAAACACAGCTCTTAACTACTGAGAAGAAAGTTAACTCCATCCTAGCAAAACCAGGACAAAACAGAAGCTCTTGTCTGATATATTTGCCTATTCTCTGCTGTACCTGAGTCCATCTTTCACACATTTATACTTATGACAACTCTGTGTACCATTTCCATCTAGAAATTTGTACTATTTTGCAGGTATTTGGACACCTGAATGGTTTAATCCAAACAATACAAGACTCTGGACAAGAATGTGGGTCTCCCAATTCCTGTGTGTGGCCCTAGCCCCAAAAGTGATCATCTTTTCTTACAGCTTATAGCAACTTGGTGGATTTGGTAGTGTTAGTCTCATGGTTGGACTTGACCTTACGGGCCTTTTCCAATCTAAATGATTCTACGAACTTGAAGCATAACAGCTGATGACAAATCAAGCAGTAAGCAGTGAGCATGGGAACTCTGCCAGCAAAATTTCTGGAAATACCAAGCCATTCATCAATTCATATCATAAAAGGATTTGCCGAAGCATCAGCCCTCTGTGATATTTACACAACAACCAACTTTCCCTCCTGCAGATCCCAGCATGACTGATGCATTTGTATTTTATGGTAAGAAGTGAGAGAAGCTATGTATGAAAAATGCCTGAAGGCGGAAGCAGTTTCCTTTTCAACACCATTTGCTCATAAATGAGAAATCTACAGGAATCAAACAAGGATTCATAATTCATATAGCTTATATTCATGTTGCAAGAACAAAACAACCATGACTGACAACTGCTTTCTGTTAAAGGCTAAGCATTATCAGCAACAGCAGGTAGTTAGTGCTGTTCCCATGCTATCATCAATCAATATTAAAATAATTTTCCTGTCATTCACCCATTATTTAAAGGAGCCACTTACTACAAAAAATCTACAAACAAACCAAAAAAGCAATACAGTTACTGTTCACATTCTTTACAAGAAACATAGCAGGTCCTCTTTCATCATACTTAGAATGTTTAATAGATATTCTAATCACCTTATATGCCTATATAATTTAAAAATTAGATAAGAAACATGAGAAGTAACAAGAAAAAGCCATTCTAGAATGCTTTTTTTTTCTGCTTTGCTTATAGCACAGAGTACTTGCCAAATAAAACATCCTTCCGTGTTGCTGCCAAAACACTATGTCCCTGAAAGATTACACAGCATTCTGCAAATTAAAGGTATGTCTATATATCCTATTCCTCTGCTGACAGACTTACCATCCTAATCCTGTACTTAGGAAAAGATGGTAATTTCCAGGGCTCTGGTCCTGCACAGCACTTCAACACATGCTTAATGTTTAGTGGAGCTATTTACAAATGTGTTAGGTTTTGTTAGACTCTGCAGGGGTACTTTTGCACTTTCCATAACGGACCAACAGTTTGGAAAGGAAATACAGCACCTTGACCCTCCCTGGCCTTGTTGCACTTTGATTAGTTATTTCATACCTATGTTACAAGTATTTGTAACAATAACGCTTAAAATCGCTATTGTATGCACACTCATCCCAAAGATAAAAGGGTTCAAGGCAAGGAAGAAAAAATCACATCTCAGCTACATGCTTTTCAGAGCTGGTGACATGCAAATTAATCAGTTATGAACATTTACTGTAGCAGGCACATAGGTTCCTAAACTGCTAACTAAAATAAAGTACTAACATAAAGATCCTAACTCTACCAAGTCTTGAAGGACAACAGGTTGAAAACCCAATTCCCCACCATCACAAAACAAGACAGACTCTGTGTTGCCTGGTAGAGTCATTTTTTAAAGTTCTGTTGACCAGATCTGGCTGAGAAGGAAAATGTGAACCAAGATCCTAATAATTCTTTCAAGTCTCCATAATACAGTTTCTCTGTTTATTTCAGGCTTTACACAATGCTGCTGGACTCTTCCCTAAACAAGATTTTGGCTAACAGAGCCTCAAGCACAGATGGGTCTCTGACCTTATTTAGCAGGGATTCTCCTGAAGGCATTGCTGTCCGATTTTATAACATTTGATTCAAATGGTTCAGTGACTTGGCCAGGGCATGTAACCCATTTTTTTTTTTTATGTTTGGTTCATTATCAAAACTCATGTTTATTAACTACAAATAAATATTGCTTAGCATTGAACTCCCTTACCACTAATTATCTGTCTTAAATAGCAATTAATTGTGAATAATAAAAAACGATCAGTTACCGATTTCCTCTCTTGTTTCAGCTCCTGCACATAGCGTGTTAACTCTCCAGTGATAAGAGAGGTCATGTTCTCTGAAATGACCTCATGCTGTCCGGCATAGTCATTCATTTCATTTAAAGTGGCTAGGAAGGCTCTAGTTGATGTGTACCTGCAGAGGACAAAAATGCATTTTGCTTTTAGTCCCTTTCTTTTCAGAAAGACACATTGCAAAGGGAGGTTGTACCCTTAAACATTTAATATTGCTACACGAGACTGAATATGGATTAGCACAGATTCACATGAAGGAATTTCTCAAAAAGAAGCCTATCCCACACACTGACAGTTGTCTGATAAATTAATCTCAATTTAGACAATTTGATATTGGCTCTTAAAAACATCAGTTTGAGAGTGCCAGGTTTTTCTATCAGCACAGCTCTGGGACTTCACTATTCTCATCTATATTCACCAAAAATTTCTAGTTACGCTCTTTCAAGTCCTGTGATTCAGTGCACAGTCATCAGTGCACCCTACCTGGCAAAATCCTGACTAAGTGACCATCTTTTTGGCTAGCATAGTGCAAAAGGTAAAACTTTCACAGTGTAAATTGGATTTAAATCAGATATAGTTTACAGTTTTCAAAAAGGTAGCGAGTTTACAAACCAGGTGCTCATTGGCAACCCGTATTTTTTTAGGACCTTCCATCGCAAAGTTTATTTTTAATATAAAATTATCTCCTATACAACATTCTACGTATTATTAAAAGGAAGAAACGAACATCTGTGCACACCATTTCAAATCAGCAGATTATGTCACTAGCATTATTCAGCACAGAGCCAAGAGAGCTGCATTTAAATACCCCATCTGGCTGTGCTGGTCAGCTGGAAAACAGCAGCTCTGAAATACTGCACTTGTACATACTAGAAAAACTATTAATATTTAAGAGTAGCAGCCTGAGCTGATAACATCACCTAAGGGTGAAAAAGCACAGCAGAGAAGGGGAGATTTAGAGGAAATAGAGGGGCATGGTACAAGTAGGGATGAAAAAGGCATCAGAGAAAAAAACAGAAAAAAGAAACTAAAAAATATATAGTCCAGTATAAGCAGTCACATTCACAGTCAAGCTGTGGTGCCTCGAGAGAAATCCCAGTTGCAAAACACTGGGAATCAGAGTCACAAAACTACAGACTGACAAGAACCCTGAAAACAGATCGTTTTTAGACAGGTTGTCTCAAATCTGTGTCTGAGGCACCCAAAGGTCACATGACAAATCCTCAGATATTATTTAGAGACTTGAGGAAACTATACTGAGGTGAACACTATATTTAAAAGGGCAAAGGACACAGGATCTTCTGTGCCACATCACATGAATCATTTAACTCCAATATCCTTTTCCAGCAGTGAAAGATGTGTCAAAAAAGGTTGTAGTAAACTCAAAATATCCATTTATGGTATAGCTGCCCAAAGGCAGATTTATTCCTAATCCCAGGTACAGATCAAAACAGCTGATGTGCTGGTAACCAAAGTTTCCTTGTGTAAATATCAGTATCTCAGGAAACAAAGGTTCAGATAACTGATTCCCAAATGATGTTAACTAAAAATAAATTAAAAAGAAAATGAAAAGGTTGTCATGTCTGTTAATATAAGCAGTTTGGGGCTCTGACCCAAAAATCTAAATTAATATAATTACAGAGTTGGACCTGTATCCAAAAATGATTTGAAATGTTTCAAATTTCAAGTCAAGAGTTCAAGTCTGCTGCCAGGCTCTGCAGAGGCAGAGCAGCCTCCTGCAATAGGAGGCTGCAGGGTCAGATTCTGCGATGCCCTCGTTCAAAGGTGATGTTTTACAGAACACTGACGTTGAGAAACTTCAGAGTCTGAGTGCTCCAAGGAAAAGGTTCTCGCCCTGGCTCATAGCCTGTCTGTGGGAAAGCTCCTCCTCTGGAAAGTTCTTTTTAAAGAATATCTTTAATCCCATCAAGGGCAGGTTCTTAACAACACGTGGTCTATCACCACCTGTATCCATGTTCACAGTGTTGCTCAGTGAAGTAGCTGTGCCTAGACACTGCAGTCTCTATCTGTGAGCACTACGTGGGTCCCCTGCCACCAGGGAGATAGTCTGAATCTGTGAATCAACAGACACCTGAGGCCATGACACGTCCTTCAACAGCAGCAAGTCATGTGTTGATCCATCCCAGGATACCGGGAGTACAAACAACATCCTTCACCTTACTCTTCAAGAAGCACTGCTTTCTTTTTATGGTGTTAAAACATTATCCCTTTAGTAAGTTACTAATCTGCACTGTCTGTCCATTTGAGTAATTTAATACTTACGCAGGCTGCTCAAGTCTCATGCTAAAATTAACAAGTGTTTCTGTTCCTGCTGGAAGCAGTGAAGAGTTTGGTCGTTCACATCAAAGAGCCAGGATCATACAGTCTGGCTTAAAGTTTTTAAGGTACATGAAAAAAAAACCAAAAACCCCCAAACCAGGCATCCAGAAAACATAACATATACAGAACTGAGTAGTTACAGACCAAATCTAAACTTTGAAACTTGGGACCTACCAGATCAGTCTATTTCTGCATGTATGATTTCTACGCTCTTTCACGACTTTAAATTCTTTGTTTTACAAACGAAATCCTAGTTGGTAACCCAACCTTTTCCCCTTCCTTCATCAACACATGCTCAGCCAGCAGTGAATCATGAACATACCTGTATTCCTCCTCTTCTTTGGAGTTCTTTTTGGGTTGATATTTCTTTGAAAGATTCCTAAAATTAAAAACACACACACACATATATATATATATTTTAAATAAAATTTAAAATCTCCTTTAAATGAACTGGATAATATTTGCATGCACACACATTCTGTGGGGCTTCAGTTTTTATTTGCAGTGACTAGACACCTCTTCAGAAGTATGACTGCAATGAGGCTCTGATTGCATTGTAGTAGCACTCAAAGAATGGGCTGCACAGCACTTCAGTCTTCATAACCTCAACAGAAGTAGCAGACTGAACCTGAGAAGTTAATAAAATAAGGTCATGAAGTCAAAACACCCGAGTTCTGGTTCTGCTGATGCACAAGTCTCCTTCACCTGATCTAAAGAAGACCCTTTTACAGTAAAAATACTGGTCCTGACACAGAGACATGCTTTACAAACTCCACCCAGCAGAAGGTGCTACTCCATATCCCAAGGTCAGCCAGCCCACTGAAGTATGATCTGCTACAGCAGATGACACTCAATGGCCAGGCAGATTTGCCTGCCTTTAGCAGGATGCTTCCAAGGAAGAGAAAAATCTTCATAAAGCTGTGGGAAGCTGCACTGAGATGCCAAAAGGGGGATCGTATTATGATTATCAACTGATGTTGGGAGAGATGTGAAATTTGATTATCCCAATTAGCACAGATGCCGCATCTCATTACTCCACAGCCAGCTAACGATTTAATTTTAAAGCATTGATATGCTTCAAGTGATTGTATCTTGAATAAGAAATTTGAATATAACTCTGTTAGCACATTTGACAGCACAACTGTCACTGTCCTGAAAACACTCACTGCAAGCCCCCAGCCAGCACATCCAGGGTTTAATGGCCATGTGCTGTCCACCTGACACTGAACACACCTTGCTGATACTTCGAGCTCAATATTATGATGCACATCACACTGTAGCAAAACACAATACCATGGATCTTTTAGACAATGCAAACCAGAGAGCTGACAAATCTTACTTAGCAATTTTAAGACATATTTAGTGCTGCAGTACTGGGATCTCCTTTATTCTAAACTCAGCCCTATGACCACATGCCTTCTTGCAGCCTGTTACCCTGCTGTGAAATGGAAGTCATTTGTTTTTGCTTTTCAGGTTGTTTCATCCATTAAGAATAACATACAAGTGGTATTGATAGAGTCATTGTCCAAGGGACTACCAAGTTTCATTGCTCCGTGCCAAACTCTTTGGAGGACTCCCAGAACACATCCAGTTGAAAAGAAACTGCTTTTTCAGAGGTCTAACCCACTCCCTGTTGCACACTGTTTTTACTGCTAACTGGGAGACAGCAGGGCCTCTCGTCTCACATTTCTTATTCCTTTTGTTCTCCTTAAGGAATTAAGGAGCATCTGCCCAAACAGAGTAGTAGCCAAAAACCTGACAGATTTGCACAGACAAACATGTGTTTCTCAAAATTTAAGTATCCCTGTTGGAAGGGCTCCAAACGAGCATCTCCCTTCCAGTCTCTGCCTTCTCTGAAAAGAGGATGCTCTGAAACAAGGAACTTTTCTCTAGTTCCGTGTACAGCAGCTTCAACCAAAGAATATCAGCGTGGCAAGAATTCAAACTGTTCTGCATGATTACAGTAAGTGTTAGAGCACTCTGTATGCCATGGGAATGCCTCCCTCCACACATCTGCTTAAAGAGGAAAGGAAAAACCACAAGAAAACATGTACAGAAGACAAGGCTAATAAGGCATTTTCAGATACAGTCAAAATGCACGTGTCCCTGCACTGTCACGCTGCCCAATTCATTCTGACGTACAGAGCTCCTGTTTCCTCGTGAACCTTTAAAAGTTCATTCTTTAAAAATGCTACAGAGCTAGGGTAAAAATATCCAGACATTATCCTTTCACAGAAAAAAATAATCTGAAAGTGTGTAAAGATTGGCATCTGTGTTAAACATTTTATTATTTTCTATGTACTTTAAAAAACCACAAAATATAGTCTAGATATTTAATTCCCCCCTCCTCCCGCCTTTTTTTAAAATCAAGAACATCTGTAGGGTTTTAAATCAGGATACACACAAAAAAATCCCCAGAAGTGATATTAAGTGCAGTAAGGTAAGTAGTGACTAGAGGAGGAGGACAACAAAACATCATTTCAGCACTACTTGGAGCGCAGCATCCAGCACGTCAACATCCAATGGCAGCTCAAAACAAAACGCAGGAACAAGTGAACACACTACCATAGTTTCTGCATTCCTTCTTTGTCAATCTAGATTAATGACTCAATTATAACGTAAAACAATCATGTCAAATCTGAACTGGACTCTCAGACCAGGACTGATTGTCAATCTGTAAGGTATGCAGCACTGGGGAGTTTCTTCCGCTGGTGTAACCAAATAAATCTGATGCCTCCTGCAAGTATGTAGATTTTAAAACAGAATATTACATATAAATCTGCAGAATTATACAGAGGATGGAAAGAAACAAAAGAAAAAAGAAAAGCCCAGAGACCAGGCAGAAAACACAGGTTTCACAAAAGAAAATAAAGTTCAGCACCTTTACTTACACTATAAATAAAACTTTGAGTTAAAGCCACAGGAGTATCTTGTGTTAACATGTCCCTTTTTCATAACAAGTCTGCATGTTATGACATGCAGTGATGTGCTGCAGCCCTGTTATACCAAACGGATGGGATGAAAGAAAGGTTTGCACCAGGCTTGAGGAGACTTATTAAAAGCAGATGCTTTTTTTTCCTCCATGTCCAGTACTGTTTTATCTCAACATCTGACAAGTCTACATTTCTGTTTCTTCTTTTATACCTCTAACTTCTTAGATGACTCCAAACAGCATTGTGTTTGAGCTCCTCAGGGATGAATGTATCTGTCCTCAAATAACACCCATGGGTGGGGGGACAAATGCAGCTATGCATGGGGAATTAAAATACAGAGAGAAGAAACAAATTGGCCAAGTTTGTTTTGGAAGTCTAGGATAGAATAAGAAATAAAACTCAACAGTTCAGTGTTTCTAGATAATCACAGGTAAAACTACCTCCCACTTTCTTTAAACATTTTGTTTGTGTGCTTATTTTCATAATTATGCTCTTTACATCTGAAATTTGTCATCCTAAGAAATTCACTGAGTCTAGTGTGTGATTTTTCATAATACAGGCCTGCTCACACAGATACTCTGCTGGGGTTTCCCAGTCCAGTCATACTCTCTTTCTTCCAGCTCATTTTCCCTCTGTAATTCAATCTCTTCTCATCTCCATAGGATGTGAGCAATTTGTTCCTGCACAAGTCATTTTCTATTTCCTGCTTGTCTATAGCAGAAACCCTGGGGAATCCTTGTGGCATTCCCCTGAGAAAGCACATAACCATAAAGGCAGGCTTTTATCAACCACCAGCTCCTTGTAAATAACAGGCCATTGTGCATCTCAAACCCAATCTAACATAAGCATCAAAAAAATTATTTTTTAATAGATATTGTGCTTTAGATATGTACAGATCAACTAGAATCTCAGATCTCTATCTCCATAAATACTGAGAAGATGGGAGGAGTTCTAATCTATATTATAATAATGCAAAAAAAGGGTATGGATTTACTGGAGAGGTTGGGAAGGATTAGTCCTGTACTCCCCTCCCCAGTTAGCTCCATCACCTCCAGTTTATCACCCTGGACAATATTGCACCACAGCCTCTCTCTGCAGCAGCAGGACTGTCTGTGTGTTGTACTTCCTCCTAACCCTGTTCACTCCTCATTTTTCTACCCTACTGGGAAAAGCAGGTTGAGTTACTCATTGTGTGAGGGTTCTCAGCAGCCCTTCCCTTTGCCCTTCCCCATTTACACTCAATCTGACCTCAAGGAATGTGTTTTCTGGGTCTGGTTCACGTACACTTACTTGTCTCTCTACCTACAACCTGATACTTGCTCCAGACACGTAGAACATACACAGCA